TCCTGAGACAATTTTAAGAAAAAAAGCCTATATGAACTTGTGTCCGAAAATGCTTCGTTTCGGAGGTACGGGGTGTTGAATTTGAATTTTTTTGTTTGCTTTTTGAAAATAACTCTTGCAAAAAATGAGTTATTTGCACGTAATTCGCGTCGGAAATCATAATTTCGTATTAATTTCCATGTAACATCTAGAGGGCGCTGCGTACGCTGTCATTATTTATTTCAAATTGCCCTAACTTTTTCGACAGTACACTTTTGGTACTTCTCATGAAAAAACCTTATTCCCACACCTTTTCCAAGTAAAAAAGGTAGACTTCCTCAACAACGCTGGAGGTGATCGTTTTCGAGATATTTACAATTTTCTATATCGATGCATATTACTTAGCTCCTAGGGGGCTAAGTGAAGTTGATGAGAACATTACAAAAACTAAATATGTGGTGGATCTCGTCAAAATAAACAACTTTTTCCTATAAAATATTTAACGAAGAATGATTCGTTTTCGAAATGAAGATTGTTGAAATTTTTCAAAATTGTCTTAATTAAGACACCCCCGAGGACAACGTAAGGGAAGAAAATAGGGCCCAATTAAATAATCCCCAATTATGCCTACCCATACATTAAAAGAGAATATGTCCTAGAAATGAGTTTGCGTTATCGCATATGGGTTATCTTCCACCAGATGGGGTTGTTATAGAAGTTCATGATACCATTTCTTGAAAAATTAGCCTCATCTGTGAAGAGGAGTTTCGATAAAATTTGCGGATGTTGTTCGACTTTTCTTTGTAGCCATTAAGCAAATTCGATATGTGTTTGGAAATCACGAAGCGTAAGTGCCTGGACACGCTTAATATGATAAGGATATAATTGCTGTTTCTTTAAAATTCTGTAAACTGTCATGTGACTCAGATTTAAAGTTTGACTAATTTTTCTTTCACTTGTCTCTGGATGTTCACTAATCTCTTCGAGAACCGACTCCTCCAATTCTACAGTCCTTGCAGTCCGTGGCCGTCCTACTGCAGAATTTGTTTCAAAGCTTCCAGATTCGAAAAGTCACCGGAAAAGATTCGCAAATGTCGCTGCATAAGAAATCATGCGTTGGGGATACCTTTCCTGATAGATGCGTCTGGCCTCGCTTGAATTTCCGTCAGCCAAGCCGTATGCAAAAACCATATCAGCCATTTCAGCATTCGTAAAGTCGGGCATGGTACCAAAAAATCACTTTATAAACCCCGAACTGAGAATTTGTCAATAAATAGTTAAAAATGTGACAGCGAACTTCTGTTTTTATAAACAAACTTTCATAGCCTACTCGATTTAATTAACTTAATTTGCAAGCGAAGAGTGACAAAAATCAATGAAATAAAATTTGGCTATAAAGTAATATGCATCGATATAAGAATTGTAAATCTCGAAAACGATCACCTTGAGTGGTGTTGAGGAGGTGTACTTTTTTACTTGGAAAAGGTGTGGGAATTAGGTTTTTTCATGAAAAGTACCAAAAGTTTACTGTAAAAAAAGTTAGGACAATTTCAAATAAATAATGACAGCGTACGAAGCGCCCTCTAGATTTTACATGAAAATAAAAAAATAATAATTTCCCACGTCAAAAAAAAACCGGGTACCAAATTTCGTGCAAATAACTTATTTTTTGCAAGAGTAACTTTCGAAAAGCAAACAAAAAAATTCAATTTCAACACCCCGTATCTCCGAAACAAAGCATTTTCGGACACAAGTTCGTATAGACTTTTTGCTTAAAATTGTCTCAGGAATACGTCACTTGAATATTTTAACGTACTTATGTTACACCCTGTATATCTCACGGAACTCCCATACTGTTTCAATTGAGAATCAAATGCAGGAGTTGTCCAGTAGTGAATCCCTGAATCTAATCAATTTTCTCGAGTATTTTAACATACCCAGTATAACGTGAAATTTCAAAACAATGCCACCCTTCATCTGCACCAGTTCTGAACCAAACTAGCTTGCAGAACACAATCTTGTTCAGAGTTTAGGTCAACTTTCGTTCATTCACAAATTTCCAAACAACAATGCTGCAGAATAATTCTTGAACATTTGGTATTCAATCGGACAAGTTTCTCTCACTCCGACTCCAATAATTAATAGACGATAACTTTCAGTTATGGAATGTCCAGTCATAAAGAAATGAATTCCAAATACGAGAATACATAATCATTTGTTGGAATACCTTAATTGGCTTTCAATTTTAAGGAGAATAATCAATCAAAGAATATAACTCTCTACCTAGTGAATTAAAGCAACGTTCTATTTTTAATTTAAGTAAGAAAATAAAACAATATTTTGTGTCAATTATTGAGATTTTCTAAAACTGGAGAAATATTTCTCAGGTGTTTCCTCATTGGAAATTTGAACGCTTTTAGTTGGATATTCCATCTTATTCATTCATTATTTTCTGTTAGTTTGTTTGAATTATTTCCATCCTTTTTTCAACGGTTCAGTTGTATATAATACAGTATAAGCTGAACTCCGTCTTTCATCGTTCTAATTTTTTTTCAATCCTGTAATTTGTTTTATCGATGAATGAAGCTTATTCATCATTATTATTGAATATGTTTTTCTACATTCTACATATTATTCATTTTTATTACCAATGATTTTTAGAAAATGTATTTGTAAATTATCTCTTTCTTAATTTTTTTTAATGTATTCTGAATATATCAAAGAAGAAACTAATACAAATCATGAAATTATAAAATAACAACAGTTAATTGGCGCTCCGGTGCGACTTCATTCCAGTGGCGCATTTGCTTTTTCAGCTGCAGGAAAAACCGGAAAAACCTGCAGCACCACATCATCTGAAGATCTTGATTTACCAATGTCCTCTCTTTCATAAAACAAAATGTGGGGTGTCTACAGAGGCTCCAATAAATTCAAGACATCGTCAGAACACTTTGTGACATGACTATCGTCAAAATTAAACCAGTCCGTTTCGTCTTTGACCAATGCGTAATAATGACCAGATTCAACGCCAGAACCACAGTGAACAATGACTGCATGAAGATTATAATAGTGGTCTGCTAGATTGAAGTGTTCTATTTCGAACCTTCGTAAGAGTTTGCTGCTTCCGTCAGAGGTTGAGTCATGTTTGAAGATCATCAGTGTTATTATTAGATTGACTGGTGCCTCAGCTATATTTGTTTTCTCAAAATAGTCAGTTAGTTTGGCGCATGTTTGGCAATACACTTGATCATCACCCGTTAAATGTTCCATTTTTAGATGAATCAACAACAAGCTTTGCACGAACTGATTATCAGTCATTTTAGGAATTAGGATACGCTAGTTGGGATCCAGAAAATTACATACGTTTTTGTTACCTCTTGAACTTCAGGTACTTCAAAGTAAACAAGTGAGGATTTTTCCAGCAAAAGATCTACAAAGACAAGACGAGATAGACTGTGCGAAATTATTCAATCCAGAGCGGTCAGGAGTATTGACTCTGCTATTTTTTTGCTCACGAAGAGTATTCAACAAGAACCAAGAATTCGGAGCAATCCTCTTGTTGTCCTTACGAGTATCTAGAAGGCTTCAAAGACTTCAGGAAATCGGTTGGTCAGAAAGATGATAAATTCTTAGGAAACTGCAACTGCATGAACAATTGTTTGAATTTGGTAGTTGGTAGTAGGAAACATTCTCGTTCTCATTCATCGTTGGAACCTCGCTTGTGAATTATCTTTATTTCCAACAAGACAACTCGAAGTTAATGGTTATTATATATCAATTAGGTTGATCTGGATTTTTGAAAAATAAATAACATTGAACATTATGCATTATTGAACAATATATAATGTGGTGGATCCAATAACTCGTGCTGAAGGCATAACTATTTTGAGACTTCCTCCTTACCATTGCAAGTTAAACCAGATAGAATTAATCTGGGCTCAAATTAAGGGTTACGTAGCTCGTGGAAACGAGACATAAAATTTCTGATGTCCAACGTTTATTAGAACGTTTATGGAACAGATACGAAAAGAAGATTGGCCTAATGCTGTAGCCTATGTGATCAAGGAAGAAGAGAAAATGTAGAGATTGGACGGGAGGGTAGACACTGGTTTCGACCAAATAATAATAGATTTAAAAGTGTGACTGGGGATTCTCTCTTCGGACGAGTCAAAGGATTCTGAAACTTCATAAGCATAACATAGGTAATTATTTCTTTGCTTTGTAGTTCTCTTTCTATATAAAAGGAACTTAATAATTATTTTGTAAATTTTTCTGTTTTTTTAAGTACTCTATTAGGCATATTGAAAAAATGTAATCAGTTTTAGCATTGACACCAGGTAGCGCCAACTACTATAACAATTTTTACGTAATTACCTATGTGTTTAAATAAATGAAAATATTATTTTGGTACGCCTCTGCAGAGTTGGTAAAGCGATTATCCGTTGGTCACTTCAAGTGCGACATTGCTAATGAATCACCTTCAATTGAAAATTGTTATAGTATAGTGAGATTTTTTTTTTTAGAAGATGTAAATTCAATTGCACAACTGGAATCTTCAACGAACAGCACATCAGAAGAAGAGAAAAAAGAAGAGAAGGAGGTGAATTTTCTCGACACAGACGATGGAGAACCAAAAATGAAGAAGAAGTACGCTAGAGATAGTCGATTGATTGTTATCGAAAAATTGTCTTTATTGTTAGATACATTAAGTATTCCAGATAGAGATGCAGTTTGAATAATATAAGCTACTGCAGAAGCGTTAAGGTGCGTTTAGACTTGAGCACGTATGAACTGATCCACCGCGAATGCTCAAATGTAAACTGTTGTGTGCGCACGCTTATCCTGTGCGTTGCCGTGCGTGAACAGATCCATCGGCTGTCGGTCCCGAGGCCCTGCTCAAAGGAATTAATGTTCCGGCGAATGCTCAGTTTGAACTAGTTTGTGAGAGGTGGTGAATGTGCGCGTCGTATTTTCGCAAATATGGAGTGGAATAACGATACTTACTGCCCTTATATCAATTGAAGAGTACAGAAAAGTGAAAATACTTTGGAATGCAAAGCACCCTGCATACTATTCAAAAACAAAACAAAAATGATGCCTGGGAAAGTCTTGTTCGCAATATAAATTTGCCACAGTTGTCTGTGGCCCAAAAAAAAATGGAAAGTTCACTGGGCTCGTTTCGACGTGAGAAAGCCAAAACAAAGAGAAGCGAAGGAACCAGAAAAGGTAAATTGAACACAACAAGTATAGGGTTGTTTGCCTAAATTGTTAATTGTTGTAGGTGCAATGGATATTTACAAATCTAAATGGTTTGCGTTTGACAGCATTCAATTTTTAATGAATAGGGATGAGCCAAGGAAAGGAGTAAACACCGAGAATGTAAGTAATTTACGAAAATATATATAGTTATGAATATATTATATTGAGTATTGATACAATTTAATAAACATGTAAAAGTACCAGCCCTAGCACTGTGAAAATGCAAGACTTTATTCCTAGAAATATATATCTCTACAGAATAGTTATGCATATGTATTTTGCTAAGCGAGGGCTCCTGTGGTAACAAAATACTGTGCAAACTCGTCACGAATTGCTTGTGCTGTACAAGTAGATCTTCGAGGAATTACTGTAATTGGCAGCAACGCAGTTTGATTGGATATTTCACGATGCCATTGGCCTTCCACTAGTAAGCCATCACTTTCAGTATCCAAAAAATTGTGAGGAGTGAACTATGGCGCCGTAAAAAATTGTGAAGATAGGCAATTGCCATAATCACAATTTGTGCCTTTTCCGGTTCTTATAACAAGGGCTTACGCAATACTCTGAACCGTGCTGACATAATTCCGACAACGTTTTCAACAATTCTGCGTGCCCTGCTAAGCCGATAGTTGAAAATCCTCTTTGTCGATCGCCAGGGTGATTTCCAGAGTATATATTCCTCCAGAGGAAACGCTTCATCTGCTACAATGACATACGGAACTTCAGTTCGTCGCATAAGGTGCTGATGTAGATCTGTTTTCTTGAAAATTCTCCCATCCGAGATTCGACCTTGAGTGCCAACGTCAAGAAAGATTATGTTATGATCGGCATCTACCAATGCAAACATCGAAATACTATGTGAAGACTTATAATTAAAAAATTCGCTTCCACTCCTAATTGGAGCTTGCAGTACGACGTGTCAACCACCTATGTCTCCCAGGCAATTTGGAAAATTCCACAACGTGTGGAATTGCTCTGATATTCGTTTCCATTCGTCTGGGGTTTTTGTCATCTGAAACAATGGAATATTCTATTCAATTTATTATAATTTACTAATTGCAAATTATTGATGTTTAAATATTCTGTAGGACGAAGCAGAATTGGATGACCTAGAGGTTTCTCGTGAAAGCAACAAAGAGCAGGCGCAGTTGGAGGATGAGGGGGTAGACATGAGAAGTCCGGCTCCATCTATACAAAGTTTTCATTCTCAGCCCAGTTCTGCATCGCTACCAACCTTAAAGAGAAACAAGAAGCAAAAACAACCAGCAGAGGATCCAAGATTACAGAGGGCCTTCGAGATCATGGAATCCGCCTCAAACCGTCGGAGAAGTGCACAGCACATTGCACAAAAACTTATAGGTTATTCCGTCAGAACGCGAGCATTAGTAGAGCGCGAGATAAACACTGTGCTATTTAGAGCCGATATGGGTTATTGTGACGATAGTCCTGCTTGTACTATAACTATGAGACAGATAGTACCAAATCCCCCTTCCACTGTAACTGCCTTGCCAGAATATCCTGCTGCTATACTGCATAACTTTCGACCGTCTCCGCATTACACCTACACAACTCCTAGCACACCAGCTCCATCTCCACAGAACGCCAATCTTACCAGCTTCATCCCTACAGTACACCAATCTTACCAGTAGCACACCACCTCCATTTCCACAGTACACCACTCTAACCATCAGCACAGCAGCTCCATCTCCACAGTACACCACTCCAACTCCTAGCATACCAGCTCCATCTCCTGTCAGCGACGAAACTTCTACCGCATCTACATCCGCCTCCTATTATGGTAATCCATCATCCACTGATTCGGCTACAAGCCAATACTTCACCCAGTTTAGAGACGAGAACTCATAGAGGGATTAACTCTTTAATACGTATATGTATTCTATGCCAAAAATATGTAATAAAGATTTCTAAAAGCGTTACTCATCTTCATGTAATCACGTAGTACCTCTATAAGTGCCAAGCATACTTCTGGGATAATGTTACTAATCGAGGCTTTGGATACTTTAAACAACAAGGCTACCATAAGAATCTCCGGTCGCCAAAAAACGTAAAGTTATCGTCAAACGTTCCCGTGGTGTTACTGCTTTTCTCAACTGCGTATCCTTTCTAGCAATCTTTGGTGCCACCAACGTCAGTCATTACGTACTCAAAGTCGGCATTCGACATCCGTGTAAAATTCTCAACTTGATCACATCGAAGTTCAGAACTTGAATCGCATAGCACATCAGTTCTATCCCGAAACAACTGCGTTTTCCACCAGCGACGACTCCGACGTTTCTTGGTTTCCTTTTGTTAAATAAGTTTATAAATGACAATAAACGCAGCAGCCGTATTTTCTTCCTTCATCATCGCGCACAAATGGATCACTGCGAATAGGACATTCATGCGTGGATGCTCGAATAATCTAAACACTGATGCGAGCGAGAACCCACACTCATTCGCGGTGGATCAGTTCCTGCATGCTCAAGTCTAAACGCACCTTTACGTTTTCACTCACAGAATTTAAGTGTAAGTAAAAGTGTAATACGACTTCGAAGGCAACTATTGCGAAAACAAAGAACTGTGCTTATCAAACAGATTCAAAAACTTCTATTCAGAAGGAGCTGTTGTGCACTGGGACGGAAAATCACTTCCAGATATTTTGAGTGAAGAAAATATAAAAAGAGTTTGCAAGGACGCTTTTGATTAGTTGTGGGGCTGAAGGACAGTTGATTGAAGTTTCTCAGTTTGAAAATGGTACGGAAGTTACTCAGGCAAAAGCTGTATTTCCAGCAGTTCAACAGTGGGGGGCAGTTGAGAAAATCCAATCACACGTCAAAAGATAAGACCTCGTTAGTCCTTAGCTCGCACAAGTTTCTCAACTTCTGAGAGTTGTCGTTCCTATGGGGGCGACAGCTGATTAACGGAAAAACATATTTTAAAACAGAATGTGTTTTGTTACAACAACAACGTTTAGATGGATATCTTGACAAATTTTCACCTTTTTTGTTCACTTCCTTAGACATCCGCCTGAGTGCTGTACTATACATTAATTGTGCTACTGCTGAATAGATGACATAATTGACACATATTGTTTTGTTAATTCATATTAGAATACACGTTGTGTGCTTTTTATTGTTATTTTTTCGCAGAAACCAAGTTTTCGGTTTTAATGTATGTACCTTTCAATAAATTTTACATTTTTTCACATTGAATCAATACCGTTTTTCTTACTAAGCGAATAACAATTTTTGACATCTGATATCACAAAAGATTGTCTTGGCATGATCATTGTGAGTGCCTAAACCATATAATGAGTAGATAGAACAATTTCTATCGATTCAATTTCAGCCCTTTTTTGACTAAGTTGTAAATTCTATATACCTTTGGAATTGATCATGTATTCGCCAGAAAGTCATGAATAGCAACTCAGAAGGCGGCTAATTCTACCATATTTTTCCAATTAATGAATCTAAATCGTTGTTGAAAATTCAAAATTTATCGCAAAGTTTCACTAGCGATAAAACAGTTACCTCTTAAATATATCAAAGTGTAATTAATCAGACATCAAATTACATCAAACACTTACGTAAAAGTGGTCCTTTCGACAATGTGTCATTGAAAACTAAAACACTTTCTATTCACTATGAATCAACAGTTTCTATAACAAGGTTCAAAACATTTTCTAACCAAAATACAAAAAATTCTAATTCAATTCACAAACAAGCTGGAAAAATATGTATCTATACTCTGTCTATCCAAGCAAGGGAATGCTACAAAACATTATCATGCATAGTGCCGTGATCCCAATAATATGCGGCTGGGTGTAGGATACTTTTTCAGGTGGAGTATCGGGACACAAACTAGCAGTTTCTTCAGCCGTATCAGTACTTGCTTTTTCAAAAACTTCAATCTTCAAAATACCGAATATGTACACACCACAAGCATTAAAACGTAACCGACCACTCCGATACTGTAACAGTGAATTCCGCCAGCCGATTGCAGTTAAATCTGATTGGCCAGCGTCAGGAGGCTTGCTTATTTTTTCCAATAGATACAAATGTACGTGGTGATCATGCTTTGATCACGCACCTATCTTCGTACACAAATGAATCTTTTTGTCGTTTTAGGCCGATTACTCAAATGCTGAAGACCTGCTATTAGTTACTTAGGTTAGAATCTAGGACAAACAAAGGAACAGGATTCTTGATTGAAAAATTATGGGTTTCTATTGGTTGATATTCTGTATCGTTATGAAAAATCTGTATCATAATGGATATCATTATGAAACGGATTATGGTCATATAAGTGTATTGTTAGAGTACGGGTGTAGAAAATAACTTATTATTTCACGCTTGAAAAAGCTATTGAATAGCAAAACACGTGTCGCGGTTTTTGTAAACCCCTTTATAGTGTAAATCATACAATAAACGGTATTATTGAGCATTTATATTTCTACTTTATCTTTCACATGTACTACGCAATTATTTCATTTTTCTGCGGGAATACACGAAAACAGATTCACTAAAAATATTTTTAAGATTATGAAATTCAAGAATGGTTTTTTTCTGGTAAAATAGTTTTTTAGGTCCGCCCAAATAATCTCTATTGGGTTGAAATCGCAGTGGTAAGCGATTTCACTTTCTGCTTTTACCATGTTATCCTCAAATGGTATACTTTTCAAACGCTACCGGTCTTGAATTACAGCTATTTTTATGGGTGTAGTAGAAATTTTTTCAGCTTTTATGTGGAACATCGTCTAAAACAATTTCACAGTTCTCTTCTAGTTTCGGAACTATGTTCCTGAACCAATTATCAAAAGATATGCCATCCATTTCGGTCCACAAGGCGTCGGGGAAAAAACCGGTTTCGCTTCATGAAGAGAGATTCATTTTGTTTTAATTGAAACAGGAGAAGCGTTTCTTTTCATATGAACATCATATAACAATAGCAAATTATCTTATTCACAAACATACACGGTTTCTTGAGAGTATAATAATGTGATTCTTACTTGAAGGGTTGTTCAAACCAGTTGAGTAGCAATCTGTAAAGTTATTGATTCATCAACCCAAATTTTGGATCTGGTTTCGTGTGGCCAGCGTTTAATCACGTTTCATCTAGGTATGGAACGATTAATTCTGGCAGCCGATTGCAGTTAAATCTGATTGGCCAGCGTGAGAAGGCTTGTTTATTTTATCCAATACATGCAAATGTCCATGGTGATCATGCTTTGCCCACGCATCTATCATTGTTTAAGTTACTTTTTTGTTGGATGGACGAAGTTTAAATTCGGATGCTTACTTCATTCAACTGTTTTTTTATGTACCTACAACGATTTGCAGCCCGCTGAGACCGTGAAAGTATAGTTTACTTGATAAATTTAGCAGTGTTGTAAAATACAAAAAAACTATATTGAGTGGTTACGTTAACAAGGTGAAGTGAAGGGTTATGCTCACAGCTAGCCTGAACAGGGAGAGGTAAGTTCCACAAATACTGGGTGTTACTCTTACGGGCGTCATTAGAATCAAATATTTAACCCTGACTTAAAATAATGAAATTAGAGAAATTGAATCTATAAAATCTACTCTGAGAATAATTATAATAATATTTCATTATCCACTTGACAACATACATTGTATGGGATTCGTCGAATAAATAGGTAACCAATTGATAGTTAACTTTGGTAGGTAACGATATGGGAGACCGCTGTATCAATTTAATAGAAATCTATTATATACTAACTTATTTATTGATGTATAACGTTGAATATCATCACAAAAAAAATGAAATGATTGGGGGTTTCATGAACTTCTTGAAATCTCATGAGAGGGAAGAAGACGAGTGGATGAGAACTGTATTGGAGGTCTTTGTTCAGTTCTCTAAAGACATATATTACGCCAAACATATAACGTATAGTTACTAAGGACAGAAAACACTTGAGGTAAACAATATTTGCTGATAGTGACTCACAATTCTGATCACTTCGATTAGATATTGGCCCGTGGAAGTTACGGAAAGCAAAAGAAATGACCAAAAACAAATTCCGATATGTACGGAGTAATACACTTCCTGAAACGGGTCTTCACTACTAGGATCCGATCAGACATATTATAAAATTGCGACTAAAAAAATATATTTATGATTGTTGGGATCTTATTAGAGAAATATGAGCTGCAGGAAATATAGAAAACCTACTCAAATTTGTGGAATTGTAAGAACTCACCTCCGAATACCGATTCCCTAATAATCGCGAGACGTTAACTTAATTTTTCCTAAAAAAAGACCGATATCTAAAATTCTCCGGAGAGACAAAGCGACAGTTGATAATGTAACTCAACGAATTAACCAACAGAATATCACTGTCGAGAAGAACACTGATTAATTAAATCCGCCTGTAGCGTGAAATATTCAATCGACAGACTTCAGCGTTCAAGACAATCGAGCCAGTTTCTAAAAAAAAAATCTCCATTTTTTTCACCCGATAATTTCAAATCGCTACAAAACGAAAAGTTTTCTCATTTCATCGATGATGGCAACAGCTCTGCTATGCGATGTATTCCTGGTTGCCTACCTTCTAAGAGTTTTCTTCAAATTTTACGGATGAGAAACAAAGGTTTCAATTGAAAGTAGCTTACTGTCATTCTAGAAAAACGAGCATTCCTACTTGTCATCTAAACAAAGTTGAGGTACTCCAGAAAAAAAAACCATACAAGAAGTATAGTCTATCCATTCCCAATTGGAACGGCAATAAAAATAAGAGTACAGTCATAAACATTTCTTGCCTGTGGCCCCTAGTCGCCCAGATAGTTAGTGAACATGCTATCAAATGTAGTTGAGGAATAAAGGCTCGGCTAACTGGACTGGCTGAATACTAATTTTTTGTCCGTTTCACAATATTCCTTTATCAGTGCCGTGTGTTCGTGGAGTTAGGTGAGGTAGT